GGCCGCCGCCGCCGCCGGGTCCCTCCGCCCTTCCGCCGCCGCCGCCAGCGCCGCCATGGCGGCCACCGGGGTCCTGCCCTTCGTCCGCGGCGTCGATCTCAGCGGCAACGACTTCAAGGTGCGGGGAAAAGCAGGGGGGCGGCGGGGGAAGGGAGGGACAGACCGGCCCCAGGCTCCGAGTGACGGGCGAGACCCCGCCCGGTGCACCCGGGGCCCTGTCAGGCCCGGCCCGGCCCCGCAGGCTCTGCTCGCCCCCCCCCCCCGGCCCGGTGCCCTGGGGCTGGGGGTTGTCCCCAAACCGGGGGTGCTTGGGCAGGGGCAGCCCTGGTCCCGGACCCCGTCGACACCGTAGGGCCTGGCGATCCCTAAGCCCCAGCCTCCACGGCTGGGCCACCGCCGCCCCCCAACCCATGGGGCGGCACCGAGCCCGGGAGGGTCGGTCTCCCAGTCCCGTGTCGCTGGGCCGTCCCAGCTCCCAGTCCCGTAAGGACCGGGCAATCCCAGCATCCCTGTCCCAGGTCCCAGCCTCATAGGACTGGGCAGTCCTGGCCCCCAAGTTCCATAGGATTTGGTGATCCCAGCACACCCCCCCAGGTCCCAGTCCCATAGGACTGGGCAATCCCACCCCCCCAGTTCCACAGGACTGGGTGATCCCATCTCCTCCCAATCCCATAGGATTGAGTGCTTCTCCCCCCCTGCCCCCATCTCCCAATCCCATAGGGTTGGGCAATCCCAGACCTTCCTTTGACCACGCAGGCTGGGTCAGAATGGGGTCTCCAGATTCTCAGCCCGCGGGGGCAGGTGGTTTTCTCACCCTCCTCCTCCTCTTCCTCCTCGCAGGGTGGCTACTTCCCCGAGCATGTGAAGGCCATGACCAGCCTGCGCTGGCTGAAGCTGAACCGCACGGGGCTCTGCTACCTGCCCGAGGAGCTCGCCGCCCTCCAGAAGTTGGTGAGCAGCACTTTTTGGGCAGGGAGGGGAGGGGATGGGGCTGGATGGCTCCCAGTGGGGCTGCGGGGTCAGATGGGCCCCTGCGCAGCGGTGCCAAAAGCTCAGTGCCCGCCAGCTTCACGGCTCATCGGCGGACGCTCTGGTGTCTAATAATAGGGCTGAGCTACGACGTGTGGTTGAAATTGGATGCAGGAGATGTTAGGAGTGGGGTTGAGGCAGACTTTTACTCGGTTTCACCTTGTTTTCCTAGAAAAGCAGACCAAAAACCACGTTTAGATCCTTTGCCCTTTAATAGAAGGGAAGGGGGAAAGTTTAGTATGAGGAGGATTAAGGTTTTGGGGCTTTTTTTTCCCCTCCTCCTTTGCTAAAAGATACAAAGAGCAGTAGCTGGCAGCTGCTTGGCTTTGTTTTACGGGTGGCTCGGATTTTGTGCACGACCAGGCCCTTGGTGGAGTGGGTGGTTAAGCTTTGCTTTGGCGGTGTCCTGCAGCGCGTTATGGACGTCGTTAAATCGGTGTCAGCCAAACACCACACTTTAAAGGCTGCCAAAAGTCCTCGTCACCGAGCCGGGTGCGCCCTGCTCAGGCGCAGCGAGGGGGGAAACCCTCCACGCTGCTCGGAGCCGCGCTCCTGCCAGCCCTGACAGATGCTCGGGGGCCACGGCGAGACTTAAAACCTGGCACCTCGCCCCCCTTCCCCCCCCCACCCCAGTCTGCCAATTCCTTGTTTCCCTCAGCAGGTGACAGCCAGGCTGTTAGAGGAAAACAAATTTCCCCTGGGTCCTCCTCTCACCCTGCTGGTCCCCACGTCTGCCCTTTTCCAGATCCCCCAGTGAGAAGTGTTTCCGAGCTCGGGGGCTGTGTGGGCACTGCTGCAAACCAGCTCAGTAAAAGCCCAAGAGCGCCCCAAAACCTGTCTCAGGTCTGCCCCGAGGAACGAGGGGTGCTGAGGCAGCATGGGCACACTGGGGTCCCAGTTTGAGACCGGGGGCATCCTATCAAGCTCACATGGGTCAGGGCTGAGCTCAGCCCATGTCTCTGCGAGACCCCGGATCTCCTGGGGTTGAGGAGCCCCCACATCAGTGCAAGGGCCCAACTGCTGCCCCACGCAGCCCCGGCTCCTCTCTCTGCTCACTGGGGCTTGTCTGGGGCTTCCCTGCAGGAACACCTCTCCGTGAGTCACAACAGCCTCACCACGCTCCACGGCGAGCTCTCTGGCCTGCCCTGCCTCAGGGTAAGTGTCCCCCTCGAGTGTCCCACCTGCATCAGGGCTGGTGCCCCCAGACCCCTCTTGGCCAGCCCCTGGCTCTGGGGGCACACAAGGACCATCTGTGGCCACCCCAGGGGGCTCAGCAGGCGTGGGGCCGGCGAGTGGCTGCAGTTGTGCCTCTCTCTCCCCTCTCAAGGCGATCGTGGCTCGTGCAAACAGCCTGAAGAACTCGGGAGTCCCTGATGACATCTTCCAGCTGGACGACCTCTCGGTGCTGGTAGGTGCAGAGTCTCCTCGGCTAATGCGAGAGCCAGCTCAGGCTCCCAGGTCCCATTCCTGCACCTTGGTGGCCTCTTATGCTCCTTGGGGAGCACGGTGGGGCTGAGGAGCATCTGGGGGAAAGGTGCAGGGAGTCAATCGGGGCTCAGCACTGCCTGGCTCCCTTCAACTTTTGGGTGCCCAGGCCATAATTAGCTTCCCTGCAGCAAGAGCTGCTGTGCCATTTCAGCGCCAGTCCTGACCCCGTGCCCAAGCACCGGGGAAACTGGCTGTGGACAGGACAACCCTATGGCAATGCCTCCTTTGAAGGCTGATGCAGCCCCTGTTTGCTCATCCAGCTCCTGCTGCTGGGCACCGATCGGCACGGCAAGGCCCAGTGTGGCTGTAGATGCCCCAAAGATGCCCCTTGGTCCTTGGGTTTGGGTGGTGGTTGCTGGGTGCGGGGCAGAGGGTGATGCCTGCTTTGCTCTCCTGCTTGCCCCAGGACCTGAGCTACAACCAGCTCACGGAGTGTCCCCGGGAACTGGAGAATGCCAAAAACATGCTGGTCCTCAACCTTGGCCACAACAGGTGGGTTCAGACCAGGGCAGTCGTCTCCCTCTAGCCATGGCCACCTCCATCCATCACCCCCCTTCACTCTGGGTCCTGCACTCTGTCCCTCTTTGAGGGAAACCCTGCAAGGGCTGGTGCAGGTCCCAGGCAGCTCTGAAGATCCCGATATCCCCGCAGCATCGAGACCATCCCCAACCAGCTCTTCATCAACCTGACAGACCTGCTCTACCTCGACCTGAGCGACAACAAGCTGGAGAGCCTCCCACCACAGATGAGACGCCTGGTCCACCTCCAGACCCTCATCCTCAACAACAACCCCCTCCTGCACGCACAGCTCCGGTAAGGCCCCATTTTCCAGGCTGGATCCCAATGGTGAGCAGGTGCCTGCTCCGGGCCCTGATGCCATCTCTGCCCCATGATTCTCTGTGACCCATAGGCAGCTCCCAGCGATGACGGCCTTGCAGACTCTCCACCTCAGGAACACCCAGCGCACACAGAGCAACCTGCCTACCAGCCTTGAGAGCCTGGTCAACCTGGCAGGTAGGGCCAGGGCACCCAGGCCCACAGTGCACAAGGACCTCCAGGAGGTCTCTCAGTGCTGGCCTGGGTCTGGCTGGTGGCATCACCCCGTTGTCTTCCCCCAGATGTGGATCTGTCCTGCAACGACCTCAGTCGTGTCCCCGAGTGCCTCTACACCCTGGGCAGCCTGCGGCGCCTCAACCTCAGCAGCAACCAGATCACGGAGCTGTCTCTCTGCATTGACCAGTGGACCCAGCTGGAGACCCTCAACCTGTCCCGCAATGAGCTCACCTCCTTGCCTGTATGTCCCTGTCTGTACATGCCATCCCTGCCCATGCCTCCATGCCACTGTGTTCTCCCTCACCCTTCCATCTCCTCCTTCCCCAGTCGGCCATCTGCAAGCTGACCAAGCTGAAGAAGATGTACCTGAACTCCAACAAGCTTGATTTTGATGGGATTCCCTCGGGTATTGGCAAGCTCACCAACCTTGAGGAGTTCATGGCGGCCAACAACAACCTGGAGCTCATCCCTGAGAGTCTGTGCAGGTAGGGAACAGCCCCTAGCTGGATCTGCTCTGTCCTCGAAAGAGGACACAGTGGCTGTGTGGTAATATGGGGTCTCTGAGTGTCCACGAAAGATGTGTCCCTGCCTTGGTCCTTCACCAGCATGTCCATGTCCCACAGGTGCTCCAAGCTGAGGAAGCTGGTGCTGAACAAGAACCGTCTGGTGACGTTGCCAGAGGCCATCCACTTCCTGACAGACGTGGAGGTGAGAGCCCAACACCCCATCTACCTCGGGCTGGGTCCAGCACAGCCCCAGCGTGGCCCTGGGATCCCAGGGCTGTAGGATGGGATGGAGCAACGTGAGGAGAGGAGGCCTCAGGGCCAGGACTTGCAGCCTGGCACATAATTCAGCCCAGGCAGGGGGTGAATTTGGGGCTCCCTCCACATCCTCTTACCTCAACCAAAGCCCAGGGTGCTCCAGAGGTCTCCCATCCCACCCCACATCCTCAGTGTGTCCCCGGGAGCCTGTGCTTCAGAGCAGTGTGGTCTCCTGTCCTCTTCTTGGCAGATCCTGGACGTGCGGGAGAACCCCAACCTGGTGATGCCCCCGAAGCCGGTGGATCAGACGTCAGAGTGGTACAACATCGACTTCTCCCTGCAGAACCAGCTCCGCTTGGCCGGAGCCTCCCCGGCCACCGTCGCCGCTGCCGCAGCAGGTAAACGTGCAGGGACATGGGGGACAACCCCTGCCTTGGGCAGCGCCCTGGAGAGGCTGGGAAACGAGCCTTGTCCCCCACCCAAGGCATGGGTGTCCTGGCTGCCTCTCACCCTGTCCCCATGTCCCCAGGGAGCGGCACCAAGGACCCTCTGGCTCGCAAGATGCGGCTCCGGCGGCGCAAGGACTCTGCCCAAGATGACCAGGCCAAGCAGGTGTTGA